ATTTAAAAATATATATGTATAATATAAATATATATATATAAACACAGAAACTGAAGAATTAAAATACACAAGAGGGGGTTGCCTGGGGTAGCCCAGTCAGTTGAGCGACCGACTTGATTTCAGCTCAGGTCATGATCTCACTGTCGTGAGATGGAGCCCTGTGTCCAGCTCTGTGCTGGGCATGGGGCCTGCTTGAGAGTCTCTCTTTCTCTGTCCCTCCCACACTTGCCCATGCACTCTCTCTCTAAAATAAATAAATTAATTAAAATTAAATAAAATACACAAGAAAGAGCAGATATAACAGTTTTATGAATGTAGTCAGGATATGGTTTCTACTACTATGTACAATTAAAAAAAATTTTTTTATGTTTATTTATTTTTGATAGGGAGAGAGAGACAGAGTCAGAGCATGAGTGGAAGAGGGGCCACGAGAGAGGGAGACACAGAATCCGAAGCAGCTTCCAGGGTCTGATCTGTCATCACAGAGCCTAATGTGGGGCTCAAACCCACAAACGTGAGATCATGGCCTGAACTGAAGTCAGACACTTAGCCGACTGAGCCACCCAGGTACCCCTGTTACAATTATTTTTAATAAGCTAGTTCCCTTTTATTATGTTCTCTTTAAAATGAATTGTGGTTCTATAACTGTTAAACTAGTATCAGATAAACCTATAAGAACATTAGAGTCTGAAGTCATAAGCAGTAACATTCTAATTTCAAACTGTTTTGTAAAGCGATACCAAAAATAAGAGACAAAAAAACCCCTAGTATTATAAAAAGATCTAAAATTCTTTTAAAATAGGATGAAGAATTTTACATTTATGATTTGGGTTAAAACTGCTAAGGAGGGGTGCCTGGGTGGCTCAGTCAGTTAAGCATCCAACTTCAGCTCAGATCATTATCTCACGGTTCGTGGGTTCAAGCCCTGCATCAGGCTCTGTGCTGACAGCTCAGAGCCTGGAGCCTATTTCAGATTCTGTCTCTCCCTCTCTCTCTGCCCCTTCCCTACTCATGCTCTGTCTCTATCTCTCAAAAATAAACAATAAAAAAATTTATTTTAATTAAAAAAACTGCTAAGGAAACTTACTGTACATGTTCTCTTTTTCTTGTATTTCTTATGTGTCACTATTTGGGGAAGAAGGGTGAAAATGAATGTACATTTATTTACATGATGCCTATTATTGGTAAATTAATAGAATTATCCCTTATGGCTGCTGAAAAAGTTTGTTAATAAAATTCATTAATTAATTTGAAGTTTGAAATGTATTTAGATCTAGGCCTATGATTTTAAGCATAATTTATGAAGCATGAGATAATTAATAAACTTTTAATTGATAATTAAAATTATAGCTCAGTGATGTCTTTCATCAGGAATTTTTTTGCCCACAGAGAGGGTATGCATAGATTTTTTTTTAATGCTAGGCTCAGAGTTTATTGTAGATACACAGTCTTACTGATTATCACAACTTATGATATACAGAGATGAATGCCTCTATTCTTATTAGAAGAGACACATAAAATAAGATTTGTTTATAACCATTTTTAAAATAAACTTAAATTTTAGAACAGCTTTAGTTTTATAGAAAAAGAGAACAGGGGCACCTGGGTGGCTCAGTCAGTTAAGCGTCTGACTCTTGGTTTCAGCTCAGGTCATGGTCACACAGTTTTGTGAGTTTGAGCCCTGCATCCAGCTCCGCTCTGACAGTGCAGAGCCTGCTTGGGATTTTCTCTCTCTCTCTCTCTCTCTCTCTCTCTTTCTTTCTCTCTGCCCTTCCCCCACTCATACTGTCCATCTCTCTCAAAATATATAAACTTAAAAAAAAAAAGAGGACAGGGTTCTTGAATACCCCATACTTAGTATACTCTACAGTTAATATCTAACATTATTTTAACTGTCACAACTAAGAAATTAACATTGGTATATCACTATTAAATAAATTCCATATTCAAATTTCATTAGTTTTTCCCTAATTTCCTTTTCTGTCCCACAATCCCATCCAGGATGCTTCATTACCGTATACAAGGCGATTCACTCTTTGTGCGTGAAGTTTAAAGGTCTTTGGCAAATGCAGTGTCACCTTTCCACCACAATAGTGCCATACAGATTAGTTCCACCACACTTACAAAGCCCTCTGTTCCCAATCTTTTGAGAATTCCCAGAGGATCAGTTTTTAGACTGATATTTCAGCTTGATCTTTGGTTGGGAAAACCTAGGCTGTGAATTTTTTCAGGCAGTGGTTCTCAATCCTAGCTGCACACTGGAATTACCTGGCAACCTTTAAAAAATATTAATGACTGGTCCTCACTCCAGATCCTAGTTTCACTGGTCCGGGGTGTGGGCCTGGGCATTGGGATTTTGAAAAGTTCCTGAGAGGCTCACAATGTGCAGGTACGATTCAGAACCACTGATCTTGTGTTCATCTGTTTCATGATTGGATTCAGCTGCATTTTGATAACAACACAAATGATTAATTGATGCATCTACATCATTTTGGGGGGGAGATACTATGAACTGTCATGTAAGTTTTTAAGTAAGTAATATGGCAAGGATGCATTTCACATGCTAACTAATCATGTACACAAAACACTCTGGCTGGAGGAGGCTTTTCTGCTGTTATTTCCTGTTTGATCAACCTGGGCAGCTCCAGGTTATTTCCTCGAAGGGTATTCAGCCATGTTTCAGGTTGGCTTGACCATCATCTCTGGACTCTAGGATGCTGCTAATCCTCTGATATCCAGCCACTTTCCCTACCCAGCACGTGGTTTATGGCCCCTGCCTGAGTGTCTGTTAAGGAGTCCCCAGGCTCTAGGTTTTGTGGACTATCTGGTAAGCCCAGACCTGCCTTCAATTGTCAGCTACCTTCTATGACCCTCTTCAGGTTGACACAGGAACCCTGCAAACATTCTCCATACCCCCTGGCGGCTGAGGAAGACTGAGTGGCCTCTCTCAGGTCTGCTCTAAGCCTAGATCTGCCTTGCAACCATTTCTGCTCCACTTCAGTTGCCCCTTGCCAGAATTCCCAACAGAAGATAGGCCCACAGGTGCACTCTGGGGATCCCCAAACCCTAAATCCATCACAACCCTCCAGAGTTTCAACCCCTAAGAGGTGCCAAGGAGCCAAGCCCCATCTTTAAATCTAAAATCTCCCTTTCTTCTTCTAGTTCCTTCTTACAGTAGAAAGGCAGCAAGAAGGGAAAACTGAGTCACGTTCTCATTCCTTCCCACCCTATGGTTTACATCATGAATTCTATGCTTGCTGTCCTCTATGTTCTGCTAATGATACACAGTGCCAAGATTTTAGAATTTAAAAAACAACTTTTCTCTCTCAAGAATCTGACTTTCTTGGGGTGCCTGGATGGCTCAGTCGGTTAAGCATCCGACTTCAGCTCAGGTCATGATCTCACAGTTCGTGGGTTTGAGCCCCAAGTCCAGCTCTGTGCTGACAGCTCAGGAGCTGCTTTGGATCCTGGGTCTCCCTCTCTCTCTGCCCCTCTCCCACTCCCACTCTGTCTCTTGCTCTCAAAAATAAATAATAAAAACATTAAAAAAAAAAGAATCTGAATTTCTCAAAATAATGGGCTGTCAGACAGTTGCTTCTCTTGTTTTCTAAATATCCCTTCAGAAATCCAGTCTCCTTCTGTGCTCTGGGCTGTATCTGCTTTCTGCTCCAATGAAGCGAAAGACACTGACTAAAGTGACAAAGCACTTGAGGCAAAAAGAAGATTATGGCAAAGAAAAATATCTATTGATGTCTCAGAGTAATAACCCTCTACAATCATATCATAAAATGATATGGACCTGCTACATCAAGTGAATGTCAATTTGCAGCCAGATAAATTTGGAAAGCAAAATGATTTCAATGCAATTTCTAATAATGGCCAATAAGATGTACTTGCATTTAAAAGCACATAGATCTTTCCTCACAAGTGGCAGAATAGGCTGAACATGTATTTTAGGGTTGAATAAAAGTTCCACATCACATGCATTCAAGACCTGAGGACACAGAAGAAGAATATCATATCCAGTCTGTATATATATTCCAGGAAGATTTCACTGCCAAGGTGACAGCTGTGGATAGCTGTCCAGAGGAACTTTAGTCAAAGTCTATTGAGATTAAAAAAAAAAAAAAAAAGACGAATAAAAACAAATAAAGAATGAAAATCCCTTGGAAGAGCAGATTATTAACTCTGTGCTCCAAATCAAAAGATGAGTAACCAGACTTTGCTATTTGTTTCTTCCTCAGCTGGAAAGACAGCTAATGATGCAGAATGAAATGAGAGAAAGGCAGATGGCTTTGCAGATTGCTTGGTCTCGAGAATTCCTCAAATATTTTGGAACTTTTTTTGGCATTGCAGCCATCTCTTTAACAGCTGGGTATGTTTGCTATTCACTTTAAACTTGTCGTAAGTAATTTACTTATTTTTTGTTTTGACATTACATATTATCATAAAGTTGACCAAGATAGGACTTTGTTGCATATAATGTATATGTAAAAACAGTAATCCCTTATAGCTTAGTCCTTGGAGATAACTGTAGAACCAGGGTAGAAATAGTTAATTCTACCTCTAGTGTCTCAGATTTCTTCTATCCTTTTCTCCATTTTATAAGTTACAGGACTGACTTGATACCAAGATAGAAGAAGTCCTCTGCTAATTTATCTCCACAACCCATAAGGGGGATATAGCAATACTTAACCATTTTTTAAATGATTAATCTGAGCCTCAACGTTAAATAAAGACGAGCAAGTCATAGACTCTGCTCTTGAGAATTGCAGACTCTGGGGAGAGATTGTGGGTAAGAAAATTCTATTTCTGTAAAATACTCAAATGAACTAAGTACCTTCTAAAATGGAAGACATTCGTCCAAAAGCAGGTAATTTTTTTTCATTGAGTATGGAGATAAGTATTTACAGGCCATTCTTGATATTTATTCTTTTTTGTTCTTGAACCAGAGCAATAAGAAGGAAGAAGCCAGCCTTCCTCTTCCCTATCATTCCATTAGGCTTTGTCCTCACCTACCAGTATGACTTAGGATATGGAACCCTTCTCCAAAGAATGAAAGGTCAGTTTTTGATAAAGCAGAGTCTATTTCTGATTCATCTTCTGGTTCAAGGATCCTCTCCTTATGGTCCCTTCATTTATGGGCATTTTGACAAGACCCCTCTCTCTGAGCTTCCAATGACCAACATATCTGCTCCCTCTCACAGCAGTGTGCTAGAGTCAACTCATACCAGCTCACGTGAACTATCAAATTTTCAGGAATTTGTAAGCTGGTTGTTAAATACAGTCATTATTAAAAATTTAATTATATAAACTTATAATTAAATTATAAAAATAATATTAAATTCTATTAAAAACAATGGTAATATATACTCAACTTATCAGTTTTTCATTATTTTACTATTATCAGTACTCCTAAGTTATGTGTGTCTATTTTATGTGTATCTACTGTATCTGCATGGCAGAAATGCAGATACAATATACAGACACAATAAGATACAGATACAACCCTGACTTCAGTGGCATCCCATTGGTAGCCTGAAGTTGGTCATGGTGGGAATATTTACACATGGAAATCTGAAAACACCAAATCAAGGCTTGATTTACTATTTTGTTGATTGTCTAAGCCAGGGGTTGGCAAACTATGGCCTGCAGGCTGGCCACATGTCTTTGAAAATAAAGTTTTATTAAAACACAGACATGCCCATTGATTTCTGAATTGTCTGTGGATATATTCCCATTACCACAACAGAGCTGAGTGGCTGCAATAGAGACATAAGGTCCCACAAGCCTAAAATATTTACTGTCTGGCCCTTTTAAGAAAGCTTGCCAACATGGTCTAGACTGAAGGAAGTGAAGAAGAAAATGTTAATACTGTAGATTGTGCTTAAATGTTTGTTGTGTCAATGGCTATTACATTGTGACTAGCACAAACAGTTGAGGAAATATTCTCCCAACATTTAAAAACTGTTATCTGAAAAATAAATAAAGTAAAATAAAATAAAAACTTATCCGATTCAGCTAAGTTGTCTATATCATTCTCAAACAAATAACATTCCAACATATGTTACTGTTTCCACTTTTGTCCTACTCATTAGTATAAACGAAAATACCAACAAACATTCATGTTGGAATTATACTCTCTCATCAATTACAACTATAGATTAGCTATGAATATAATATTTCAGGAAAAAAACAATAAAAGCATTCTGAGAATCAATTTGCTATGGGAAATTTATGATAAAGTATACAGAACATTTTTTTTTTATAAATTGTGTGCTACATTTATTTTATATAAGTAAAATTTATAATAAACTTATGTTCATAATAAACTTATATGCTTTTTTTTTTTTCCGGGAGAGCTGGTTGTTAAATAATCACCAGCACCATGCTGTTCTCACAGAACTCTGGATTTTATTGCCCTAGAAAATAGCACTGCCACTGTCCCTTCTTCTTGAGCCTTTGACCCAGAGCATATTCCTCTCATGGGCTCTGTGGGCACATCACTGTCTCTCAAGCTCTGTGGGGACTGATTTGGTACAGGAAGGGAAGAAGTATAGGAAGGTATTGGAATCAGGGAGTAGAACTTCTCTTTCCCAAGCCTAGAGAGATAGAAGGGTTACATGTTCTTAAAAATTCCCATTTGAAGATGGAAATACATTTTCCACACAAAAACTCTGCAAAAATGTTCCTTGGGGTCAAGCATTATTGGTATCATATCATAGTTCAGCTATATTGTGGGCTAAATAGTTTTTTGTTGATGGCCTAGAAATTTCTTGATTGCATTATTACTATGGGAAAATGAATTAAACACTGACCTACAAATTAAATTCTGGAGTGCAATCTCATTTTATGCAGGAGACTAACTACACAACTGATTTACCAATGTTAAAGCTCATTTCAATAACCTACTCAGTTTCATGCTACTCATCTGCTTAAGAATTCATTAGTCTGATTTTGCAAGATGAGGAGCTCTGGAGATAGATGGTAGGGATGCCTGCGCAGCATTATGAATGTTTTTAATACCACTGAACTGTACGACTCAACATGGTTAAGACAGTAAATATTATATGTATTTTACCACCATAAAAAAAATGGGGGGAAAAAACTCACTAGTCTTGAGTTCAATTGTTTCATTGTTTATATGGACATTAGAATTCTCAGCGCCTCATAAAAATTAATATGTACTATTAAATGTCAAGCCTGTTACACAGTATTCACTTGAACATATTACTAATAGAGAACAAGTTTATTTTCTAAGAACATTGTGATTGTATGTTTGGGAAGTAATTTTATTACAGGTCCATCAGAATCCACAGAACATATAATTTTAAAATTTCAAGACACACTGTGGGAATTTCCTGTTTAAAAAAATATATATAGGGGCACATGGGCAGCTCGGTCAGCTCTTCTCAGCTCAGGTCTTGATCTTACAGTTGTGAGTTAGAGCCCCATGTTGGGCTCCTCTAATCTACCAGGAAATGTGCCATCTTCGAAAGTTTAGGTTATAACATTTAGCCCTGTTAACTAGTGATGACCCAATATATACAACCCTTGTTTGACTGAATTTATCATCAGCCTTTCTGCAAACACATGGTGAGAATTTGCACTACGTGAGGCCCTATCACATGGAAACATCTAGTATGTCATCAAAGGCTTATCTAATTACATATAATTTATAATGATTTTTACTTACTACTTAAGACAGAGGCAAAAAAAAAAAGATGTTTGCAGATGGTTGAAACATTATAATTTGAAAATTGTAAGCCCACCCTCTTGGGCCTGGGGTACAAATTAACCGTGTGCTAAAATAGAGGTACTTAAAGGAAACATTTGCCTTCCTTCCCAAGGAAAGTTTATAGAATGTCAACAATGTAGATTATAATTTTTTTAATCTTGCTAATTAGTCTTCAACTGGGCCCAAGACAGTACTAGCTGTTATTTGAAAGAGGAATTGTTTATAAAAATGTATATTCTTGGGAAGCCTGGGTGGCTCAGTTGGTTAGGCGTCCAACTTCGGCTCAGGTCCTGATCTCACTGCTTGTGAGTTTGAGCCCCACCTAGGGCTCTGTGCTGACAGCTCAGAGCCTGGAGCCTTCTTCAGATTCTGTGTCTCCCTCTCTCTCTGCCCCTCCCCTGCTCACGCTCTGTCTCGCTTTCTCTCCCTCTCTCTCTCAAATATAAAAAATAAAACATTAAAAAAATTTTTTTAATGTATATTCTTGTGTGTATGTATGTATACAGACTAAAGAACATTTAATATTATTTTGGGTATAAGTGGTTTCAGGTAAAAGATTAGCTTTTCTGAAAAGGTAGAATTTTAATAAGCTTTATTTTCTCTTATGTGTGTCGCTTATATATTAAGGGCAATATAGCAAAGACTTTTTGGCTTCTCCATCCCAAACCCCTCCAAACACAACTAAGGCTTACCATCCTGACTTTCCTTCAAGGGACTAAGTATTACACGTGGTATTCTTTTTCTTTTACATTTTAAAATGCTGTCTTCTATCAAATAAAATCTATGGCATATCATTTATCTCTGAGTCTTCAGAATTCCTTTCCTCCCAAAGGAAAGAATGGCCTTCCTTTGGGAGTTTCCTTCCCCTAAGGACAATGGGTGAAACATGTGAATGTGAGATTTAGGGGCATGCCTCCAACACTGTTACAGCTTGTCATTGCGATATAGCAATTTGGCCTTCTCACAAAACACTAATGGCCATTTTGTCACCTTGCATATTTCTGTACTTTATTTAAGGTGAAGCTGAGAACATACTGGAAACAGAAAAGAGTAAGTTGCAGCTGCCAAAAGGAATGATCACTTTCGAAAGCCTTGAAAAAGCCAGAAGGGAACAGAGTAAATTCTTCATAGACAAATGAAATTATGTTTACCCACCGAATCTCAAAACACATCATTGTTGACTTGAACCATGGATTTTACAATTTTTAGATGCTTGAGATTTTGATATAATGGATTTTATTTTAAAATATTAAAATGCAAAATGGGTTTTGTTAAATGATTTTAAAATAAAATTTATAACATTCAACACAAAATTATGGAGGTACTCTAAATAACTTATTTCCTATATATGTGTGTATTACAAATATCTAAATGTATAATTAATAAATTATGTTGTTTTGAATTTCTGGAAGCAAATGTCCTGCTGCTCTCATTTCTCTGTCACACATGTTCCCTATCACATTTCTCTCCCACCAATACTTCTTTTATTTGGATTTGTCGATTGTCCTGTCTCTACATGATAGAAAACAACTAATGTTAATGACTAACATGAATATTGTACTTATTATGGCCACTTATTTTTTTGCATATATTATTGTAATCATCCCAACAATCCCATAAAGCAGGCATCATTTTACGGCTGTGGAAACTAAGACACAGAGAGCTTAAATTACTTGCCTAGAGCCATATATAGACTTGAATCTAAATGGTTTGGCTCCAGTGAATATGCTCTAAAAGGCCTTGAAAAGGTTAGACCTTTAACACATTCTTGCCAAGCGAAGACAGCTGTGAAAGACAAAAGGTAAACACAGTCAAATGATGATTCAGGACAGAGCTGCTAAAGAGGTGGCAATGAGGGGAGGTTGATTAGGATCCTACCTTTTTACTTCCACTCACCAGGAAACCTATACTCATAAGATAACCCTATTTAGCGCCATTCCTACAGTTGCAAACCCTACATATAGTAGAATAATTACAAAGATATTTCCTGATACCTACTCTGTATCAAGCACTATTGTAGGCCCTAGGGTTACATGAGTGAATGAACAGACAAGGTTGGTGCATCTCAGGCAAAGGAATGTGTTCTAGTAAGGGGTGGAAGAACTGAGGAAAGGAACAAACAAACATGGAGATAAACAAGACCATTTCTGATGGTGATGAATGCTCCAGTAGAAATAAAACAGGATGATTAACAGAGTGATTGGGAGCATGTGGGGAGGGGGGACTATGGATCTGGGACAGTAGGAACTGCCTCTCTACAGAGGTAACATTTCGGCTGATACTTGAATGGTGAATTAACCAGTCCTGTGAAGAGTAGGTAGGGGGACAGGGAAAGGATCTCAGCAAAGGGAAGAGCCAGAGGAAAAACTCTGAGACCTGGCATGGTCAAAGAATAGAAAGGCCAAGCAGAATAGGAGGAGATGAAATCTGAAGGGGGAACACAAGCCATTGTTATAAACAATAGTCATTATACTCAAGCAACTGACCACATATCAACATATGGTCCTGACAGAATCATAGTTGTAGAGAACGTTGGGTGAGGTCTTAAAGGATGCACTGAAGTTCTCCATGAAGGTAAGGAGGTGCAGAATAATGACATGCTGGGCAGAAGAAGAGGCTTGATTAAAGGCAAGACAGGATGTCACGTCCAGGGATTTGCTGCTGGTTCGATTTGCCTAAACTGGGGGGTTCCTCCTGTGAGGGACGTGTTAAGAAATGCACTTGGAGGCACAGATTATCTCTGGAATGGCTTTGGGTTTAAGGAATCTGCATCCTGAGAGTAATGGGCATGAAAGATCTGCACTGGGTTTTACTGGAATTAGTCACTATAGGGGGAAGATCCCAGAGCCCATGCAATGAAGAACGGCAATAGTCCACCCAAGTACTGGCCAGGGCCTGAACTAAGGCTGTGGCTTTGAGCATAGGTTCAGGAAAGTGACACAGAAGAATAGCAAAACTGGGAAACTAGTTTGAGTTTGTGGAGGGAGAAGAAAGTAAGTTCTCTTCATTGAATCATTAGCATGGATTTCCTGCAGGACATGGGAAAGTAGTGATTAGGAGGCACACTGGTGGTCTAAAGGATGCTTAACATCTAGCACTGGTTCATAGACCATGCCAGAATCTGGAATTGCATTTCTTTTACCTTAAATTCAATCATTCTGTCCAAACATTCCTGACAGGGCCCACCGAGAATGGGCTTAAGTGTCCTGCAAAGACTGACTGGCTAAAGACCTTACACAAGATGTGTGTCAGTGTGCAACACATCAGGCTGGGGTCCCTTTGGACCACCAGGACATTCATTTGTATTGGCCTCTCACCCTGGCATTAACCCTGAGTTCGTTAGTAATTATTACTCAATAAAACCTCTGCTAAACACACACACACATTTTTGTTTGTGCCTATGGTGGGGCAAAAATCAAAGCAGAGCTATTAAATAAAGGCTTTGCAATTCAACTGTATTAAAATATATTCCAATTGTCTTTTGTATTACTGATTATCCAATGCTTTTCCCCTTATTTATTATTAAACATAATATTTATATTATGAAATATAATAATATTTATAATTGAAAGGACAAACATTTTTGCTCTGACACTCGAGCTGTTAGCCATTTATGTTAATACTTGCACTAATTACTATTATTATTATTATTATTATTATTATTATTATTAAATTCTGATTACCAACTAGACATCTGACATTTCTTTTTTTTTGAATTTTCTAATTTTTTTTATGTTTGAGAGAGAGCATGAGCTGGGAAGGGGCAGAGAGAGAGGGAGACAGAGGATCTGAAGTGGGCTCTGAGTTGACAGCAGAGAGCCCAATGCAGGGCTCAAACTCACAAATTGTGAGATTGTGACCTGAGCCAAAGTTGGACGCTCAACCAACTGAGCCATTCAGGTACCCCTAGACATCTGACATTTCTAAATACTGAACATGATGTGGTCTTTGTTCAGGTAGCTTATATTTACAGATCTTTGTGATATTACAAGAAGAATAAGGAAATTGTTGTAAGAAAATATATTAGAAGAAAAATAAGAAACTAAGGTCTGATTATAAGCAAAGATTTAGAGATTTGAATAAGGGTAACCTCACCCAGTGTCTTTTCAGTGATTAGAAACAAAGCTGGGGAAAATCTCATCCCTATCCTGTGTGGCTGTTCATCTTCCCCCAAGACACTGCAGACCTAACCAAAGCAATGCAGAGACTCCCTCAGCTTCACGTGGAGGTTAAGTCGTGGTGGGAAGGAAATAAATATGGGCCCCAAAATTTTCTGCACCAGAATGACCCTTCTTGGATATCAAATCACTTTATAATAATAAAATAATAGCAAAAACAGTTTATAAAATCACAGTACTTAGCCATTTTGAATGTTTTTAATTCATATTTAAATGAGAGAACTGGGGACTAAAATTACAGGCACTAAAATTACAAATAAACTAAGTTTATATGGTATTACATCCAACTCAGTTTGTGTTTGGGGGTAAAACTGAAGGGTCCTTTATGGTCCAGTACCTAACTTCACTTTGTAAAGATTATAAAAGTGTCCTAAATCTACTGAAAACAGTTTTAATGACAAATACTGAAGTTATTGTCCAGATGTTAAAAAGAGAAGACCCTTGGAAATGGTCTAGTATAAGCTCCCATTTTTACATTTTCTCAAGAAAATGGAGGCCTTTTGTGATTTACCTAAAATTCCACATCTGGTAATGGTAGTTTGTACTAAAATGTTGGTGTTTTGAATTCCTGGCAGGATTCTCCCTGACTCTGAAAGAACAGTGACAATGAAAGTCAAAATAAAAAATATGCTTCTATAATATCATAGATACTCAGTCTCAGAGCCTTAGAAGAGGGGATTAGAAGGGCAGGGTTTAGGGCACCTGGATGGCTCAGTTGGTTAAGCATCCAACTTTGGCTCAGGTCATGATCTCATGGTTCGTGGGTTCAGGCCCTGCGTCGGGCTCTGTGCTGACAGCTCGGAGCCTGGAGCCTGTTTCGGATTCTGTGTCTCCCTCTCTCTCTGCCCCTTCCCTGTTCACGCTCTGTCTGTCTCAAGAACAAATAAACATTTTTTAAAAAATTAAAAAAAAAAAGAAGGGCAGGGTTTAGAAGAGGATGAGGAGGGAGCAGACTCAAATTACAAAGAATAATCTACAACCAATGTAATCTGAATGTGAGCAATCTGAAATTCATAATATATTTTATAGACTTTGACAATTTAATATATGCATGTTCAAATGTTATATTCTAGAGACACTAGCCAGAACCTAGATAGTGTTTCTGCTCCACTGTTCTGGGAAAGGAACAAACTCTTGTTGGGAAAATATTATTAAATAAAGCCCACTAGCCAGGGATCACACTATCTCTTGGCCTTGGAGTGTGTTTGTTCTGCAAGAGGGTTGGAAATATTCCTTAGGTTTGGCCTTGTGGATGCCTACAGGGGATTTCAGGAATACCTGCATTCTACCAACTGTACAGTTTGCAGAAAGTAGATTCTAGTATTCAGGGATGACTACTTAGCATCTCTGATGATTTTTCTATTGGTAACTTTGGAATTTATGAAGACTGGAGCAGTGCTTGGCCTGCAGGTGCACCAGGAAGCCCAGACTGACTAGGGGCGGGGGAGAGAAAGTGAGAAAGGCCTAGAAAATAAGAAGGCCAAAAACAATGAGTAGTCTTCATGAAGGGATGAAGCTGACTCAAATGCCCCTCATAGTAAACAGCACAAAAATGGCTGCCAGGGGAGCCATTGGTAGGGGGAGTTGAGCCCCTCAGGGACCAAAGTCACCTGTGGGATTCTCTTGCAGCCCAGTTTATTTTGCTGTGCTAACTTGTTCCTCTGGCCACTTGGAAGACAGTAAGAAATGTGGCTGGGCAGGACAAATTCATCATGACTGCTGATAAAGGTAACTGGAAACCTATGTCACTGATAAAGACTCAATGGTGCTGCTAAGTCTCAGGTTTAGATGACATTTCTGGTTCAAATTTTTCGCCCACAGGTGTCACAGGATTGAATGATGGATTGCTAACCTCAGTTTATTTATTTTTTTCTTGGAGGACTTCCATTATGGCTAGCAGCACTCTGGATGCAGAAAGCATCCGCCTGGATGTGAGGGATAGGCAGACACTGACCCTGAGT